AGGTCAAAGAATATATTTTTCAAGTACAAGTTTTCCATTACTTTTAGAATAAGTAATATGCACATGGTTCAAAAAGAGGATGACCTCAGAAGCCCACACTGACCCGTCTTGTCCCCACCCCCGCTCCCCTGCGCCTTACTGCTCCTTGACGCCTCTGCGTAACCTTTTTCTTTTTTGGGTTCTTGCTTTTCCCTCCAGTGTTTCTTTCTAAAAAGTTTATCTTTATTTCCCTCATTATTACCAAAAAGGAGGATACTTCACCCTCTCTTCCCATTTGCATCACGTTCCTAGGTGTGAAATGAACAAGAGTTTATTCCACCAGGCCGTGGAGTTGTTCTCTTATCTTCTGCTATTACAGACAAAGCATAATGAATTACATTGACATATATCATTACATCAATGTTGGAGACTATGTATAGATTCCAAAAAGTTGCAGGGCTCCAGACAAATATTTGTTGCAGGCACTTGGCCTCGTAAGCAATTTGATTTTAAAATATTTTACAAAAATCTTGGACTCATATGAGTTATAGGGAGTCATCAATGAAAATTTAATATAATCAGTAGAAAAGAGGAACTCACATGTTTGTGGATTGCCGAATAAATGCAAAGATTCTTCGTAGTGTCCAGGCACAATCTTTTTGTGTTATTGTCAAATGTGCCATTCCCAGCTAATATCTTCCTCTGTTAGGATAAAGGTAGCAAAACTGTGATTACGTGCAACGCTCTGGCTCTTCAGAACCTATCCGTATTGAAACAGTATAGATTTCCTGGTCTCTGCAGTTCCCTAGCACCATTTAGTCAATACTGTTTATATCCTTGCTCTTCTGGCTGCCTCTTCCCTCTTGCCCTGCCCCACACGGTGAAGCCTGGCTTCCAATCACTTTCTCAAAGGTTGTTACTGTGCTTTGTTATGGGAGCCAAAAATGCTAATCTTACCCAAAAGTATGCAGGAAAATGTGAGGACAATTTTTCTGATCGTGTTGACTTTACTGTTTGGAATTTTATACTGTAAATATAGAATCACACATCTTCCAACCATGTCTTCTCTTGAACTTCTGGGCTGTGACTACTGCATTTCTAGGCGTGATTTCTTTCCGTGTTGACCGCACCCTGACAACGATTCAAATATTAGGCTCCTGAAACTCATCCCAGGTCCATCTGTGCCTGCGCTTATAAAATCCACTGATAGCACAAACCCTTCTAAGTCCATTTAACGAGAGCCCCTCCCTTGCCAAATCTGATCACCCTTGAGAGCTGGTCATCTTCCTCATCGTCCACCCCCAGGCCATGTCTAATTATCCTGGCCTGTCTAGCCAAAAAACACTGTTAGGCCCATTTAGCCAGAACTGCCTTTATCTCTGATGTTTCCTCACAGTAACTCTGCATCCACTCACCCCTATCCTGATACCTGGCCATACTTCCCGCTTGCCTACTCTGTGTTTGGAGTTGAGCCCCTGTCTCTCCCCCACAGCAAAATCCCACTGCAGCGGTCCCTGTACCTACTGTGATGGTCCTGAATAAAGCCCACCTTATCATCTTTAACGAGTGTCCTTGAAATTTTTTTCCTTTAACAACCCCTGCCTACCACACACTGTCACCGGCGGGGAGGCTAGGTGAGGGCCTGAGAGAAAAAGGGAAATAACGGTCCCATCCACATCATGACTTGCCGCTCCTTGTCCAGTGCAGTTTAAGGCTTACCTGGGAGAGCACAGCATCGCCATATGAACTGGAGGGAAGAGAGGACGCCAACTGGAAAGGCCACCCGCAGAGCCGGGGTCTTTCAGCCTTCAGAGGAGGGAGAAGTGGCCACCCCCAGAGGGCTGCCCTGCACGTGCCACAGAGCGTGCAAGAGTGGGGAGACCTTCCTGGGTGTACCTGATGGGGAGGGGGTGCACAGGGGACAAGATGCCTGCCACTCTCAAAGCTCCAGGCAAGAGGCAATGCCGCAGTCAGAATGCTGACCGTAGAGACCCGAGGCTGGAGTCCAAGGGTTGGCCATGGACTCAGTGGCCCAGAGCTCTGAATCTGTCCTGTGTCTGGCGTGAGTCACTCCAGATCAACGTGTCAATAACATCTGGAAACCTGTTATCCTTGAGAAACAGGGATACCTATCGATCTCCAGTGAGAAAGGTTGGCTTACCATGTTGCCTTCTTGGAACTGGAGCTGACCCTGAGCACCCAAGGACCACCCCATGGGCGGGAGTCTGACTTCCGTGGGGCATCTGGTTGACCCCAACACACAAGGAACTGGGCTCACCATCAGCATGGCCGTCCCAGACATTGAATGGTGATTTACAAAGCTCTGAGGTAGTTACTTTTTGCCAATGGAGCCAATACAGGGACAGTTTCAGGATGGGGCAGCCTGGATGGCACTGCTGATCCTGGCTGGTCCCAGGTACCCAAGGAAGATAGGAATAAAGTCTGAAGAATTCATTCTAAAGCAGGGATGTGTGAACTGTTTGTGTGTGCAATGGGCCAGATAGTAGATACTGTACTTGAGGCTTTGTAGGCTATATGGCCTCTTTCACAGCTACGCAGTTCTACCAAACAGGCATAGCTGCACTCTAATAAAGCTTTATTTACAGAAACTGGCAGTGAACTGTATTTGACCCCTGGCTGAACCCCAACCACTACATGAGGCTGAGGGCCCTGGGAGAAGCTTCACTTGCCTGGGTTAAATGGTGGCCGTAGTGGGATTACAGGATCGAATGACAAATGCATCTATGACCTTGGTAGATAAGGCCAGATTCCCCTCTGCAGAGCTTTTATTATGGTTAATTTATCATTTACCGCCAGCAATTGCGTCTGTTTCCCTACAGCCTTTGCCAAGACAACGTTTGATCTGATTTTGATAATTTGCCAATTTGATAGTGAGAAATGTTTTATCTCAGTGTGATCTTCATTAGCATTTCTTTCTATTTGAGTAATACTGAGCATCTATTTTTTTTTTTTTTTTTTTTAATGAGCCAACTGTCTTTGGCTATTTTATTATTTTGTTGTGGGTGTTTTTCTTCCTGGTTTACATTGTGTTCTTTACATATTAAGGAGATTAGCCCTTAGTGTGTGTTGTGGAGGAGCTGGATAGAGCAGTCTATATGTGTCAGTTAGGTTGGAGTGGTTGATAGTGTTTGGAAATGTGAATCTGGAACTCAGGTGAGAGGCCTAAAGTGGAGAGATAAATTCGGGGATAACCACATAGATGGCATTTAAAACAAGGACATGGGTTATATCACCGAGGGAGAAAAAGCAGAGAAGAGGTAATAAAAGCGGAGCTGTAGGACATTCCAACATTTAACAACCGGGGAGGAACAACCAGCAGGCAGGGAAGAGGCTTTCAGGAGTGCAGAAAATAAAGCAAAAGCCAGACATTTTTAGAAGCCACATGGAGAAAGCATTTCAAAGAGGCAGGACTGTTGAACGCTTTTGGAGACCAAGTAAGATGAGAATCCTTACTGAGAACTGATCACAGGATTCAGCTACATGGAGACTGCTGGTGACCTTGACAGGGATACTTTCAGTCCAGTGGTAGGGACAAAAGCATGGTCTCCCAGAGAGCGAAGTGATTAGCGAAAGGTAGGCTGCAGGACAGTTGAGGGTTAACTGGATGTCTGAGGCTATGAATGTAAAATCTGTCTGAGCAGCTGCGTGTTTTTCACCAGCCGTATTGTCCAGCTGAGCTGTCCGGGAAGCAGGGCAGTGGTGGTGGAGGGCGCATGGACTGAGGGACCCAGGAATCTAAGCTGAAAAATGAGGAGAGTGCTTAAAACAGCACACAAGTGGCAAAGCGATGGATTGGGGTCTAGGTATGGTCAAAGCCAATTTATTATACTCATAAACACAACAGATACACAGAGATCACCCCGGTCTCTTCTGGGTTCCACACAGGCTCGATGTCCACGTAGCTTATCAAAAAGCACATACAAGAAGGCTGGGTAAACATTTCTTCGATTTTATTCTCATTTGAGTTTACAACAATTTAAGGATGAAAGATGCCCATTATAAATGGGTAGACTACACCGTAGACATATTATACAACAAGGAAGCCCCAATACTGACTTTTAAGAATGTACTTCCTTTGGCTACATCACTGATAGTCTATGATGTGAAATTTTTGATGTCTTTGACCAGCTACATTCCTCTAAGTTCCCATTTTATCATGACCTAAGGAACTTTATTTTTCAAAGAAAAAAATGGTTGATGGCCAAGAATGAAAAATATGTTTTTGAAAAATTATCTGTGAGTAAAGTGTCTGGTAGCTTAGTGAAGGGGAGAAGTTTGGAAAGCAGTTTTTGATGTTGTATAAAAATAAATGCTGTGAATTTACATTATTTAAGACTGATAATAAATGGTTTTTGAGGGTAAATAAAAGAAGTCATCTATCAGTTGCACACTTATGGAAAAGTTTTCAAAAAAACCAGTAAACATTTTTTAGAGGAATCTGTATCCCTCTTATAAATTAATTCAGGTAATCGATGACTGATTTTTCCATGTCTTCATTTTTTTTTCCTATTACATGCATTTTAGACATTTTGTTGCTGTAACCAAGACGGGGTAGCGAAGTGGAAAGAGCTAGAACTCCAATCAGTCATTCTAGTTTTTATCAGCTTCTGGGGAAAATGGCTAGATCTGGAAAGGGTGGCGGCATTTCAATGACATGTTCTATGAAATAAGGCATTGTTCGTTGTTCTAACGTTTTCATTTATCTGTGGATACCTGGGTCTCATGAACATGAATAATTCACAGTTGGCTATACTTACCATCAAGATATATTAAATGGAGTTTTCCCTGTCTGAAATCTATAAGCAGCAGCAACACTGTTCTACTTTAGACAATCCTGTTTCTCCAGTGGCCCTCTCAGGTATTAGGTGCTCCTGGTGCATTTGAAGGGTCATAGAAAGAGATCGGCTTAGGAGATCGGAGACCTGGTCTTCAGCCACAACTCAGTTACTTTGCAGCTGTGCAATCTGTAAAATGTAACTTCTCTGAGTTTGTTTCCTTTGCTGTAATACAGAGAAAAAAATATCTACCTGACCTATTTCACACATCCTGTTCTGAGTACTAAGTAATGCAGTGTATTTATATGTGTTTCAGATTATGTAATGCACTGGACTAAAGTTGTTGATAAATGCTTTGAAAATGTGATTTGCAAAAACAAAAAAAAAGTGGTCTGCTGTGCACTATTTTATGTTAAAAATCAAAACAGAAATCACCAGGAAATATAAATGCTTATGAATCATACAGCCCAAATGTAAACAAGTAATTTACAAATGCTTTACAATAAAATAAATTATTTATGGATTTTTAAATAAAAAAATCTTTGCAGATAAATATTCATCAGTGTAACTTAATCATTCTCTCTTTTACAAGAATGTTCACTATGTGACATTATAACTCTCCAAAGGAGAAATTCTACAATTCGTTCAGCTCTCTGCCTTAGAAGCTTCATTATAAGGCAGGAGAATAGAATAATTAAAGTTTTAAAATAAGCAAAAATATATAACTCTAAACCACAGTCCCCTTAAAGAGTTTAATAGGAACACTTCCCCCAATATGTGTATAAATGACCTACTATTTATATAACATCAACACAAACTCACAACTTAAGCCATGATGATCGAAGTTAATGTGCATTTTTCTTCCTTTATCAATTAAATTATTAAGTATCTAATGGTGTTAAGAGATTCCAGTGAATTTTTAAAAACTGAACTATATAAAAACACTTACTTATTGAATAAGATGTTGGTCAAGTATTTGGAATATAGATCAGAATTTTAGAAAAATATCTGAGACATAGCATAGCACATGACTGTAGAGAGAAGCCCGTGCAGACAGACGGTACATACAGGCGTGGACAAGCACTGAGGGAACCCACCGGCTTCTCTCACCAAACGTAAGCCTAACGGTCTCAACAGACTTCTTTAGAAGAGCAAATGAATCACTTGCCCATTCTAAAATTTATGTTAATTAAATGGTACAGTTGTTTTTGATGAAAAGAAACAACTATAATGTAGGTAAGAAATACTAAATTCTGGGCAGTAACAAAATTTTTGGACCAAATGACAAAAGTATATCAAAAATATGTTTAAGAATAACTATGTAATGCTAATATTCTAATAGCACTATGATTATCTTTGCTATCAACAGGCCAAGTTCAGCTCTCCGTCAAAAGCATCTGTCTCTGTCACACACGCACACATGCATACACAATTTTTCACACATTTTTTTCTCAACAAATGCATCTTGGGTTATCTTCTGTTTTTGACCGTTAAGCCTTCTGAAAAAGATCGACATTATTCCAACAAATCAATGATCAGAAATGACCCACTGCTTTCATCAAAGATCATTCAAGGTCATTCTGTGTTTCAAGGGCAGCCTGCTAAGAGCTCACAGAGGTGAAATTAAATTAGCATTGGCACAGGGAAATTCACAGAAGCAGGTAAAAGTGAATTTATCTTACGCTCAGCAGAACATATTTAGGTCATGTTAGGAGCAAGTAATTGGCAAATTTTTCCCCAGCTAGAAGAGAGGTGGGGGTAGTTAAAACTATTAAAAGCTTGGTTGGGCCGCCCCTTTCATTTCATGGTATGTGGGGCAGCACCGCACACCTGTGAGACAAGAAAGGCTAAACTGGAACTCTCCTCTACAGTGGCATTGTAGGTTAAACAAGCAAGTACATTTCTGCTATGTCTGTGGTTTTAAAATTATTCATTGTAAACATCCTATATTCTTTCCTATTTAATTAATTTCAGAGCTTGAGCTTGTATCTACGTCTATGTGAAATTATCATTTACTCTATGAAAAGCAGCATAAATACTGTTCATTCTGGTTTCAACACAAAGTCCTTTTAAAAACATTAAGGCCATTTAATTGAATCAGGGCCAACTAAAGTGTACCCTGACAGAAGTCAAGCTACTAATTTAAGATTTTTGAAAAAAGAGCCACGGGTGGTTATCTTGTGTTTCCCTTCTTGGTAACTTGAGAGCAGTTTGTAGGATTTATTAGTCTCCAACATCTCCATCGCGATCACCAATAAGCCACAGAAAATGAAAACTTAAGGCTAGCAGTGCTGTCCCGAGCAGGTCACCCAGCGCCGTCAGATAGGGGATGGAGAAGCTGTCCGGGTCCTTTCCTTTCCGCCAGAAGCGATGGACCATCCAGTCAGCAATCCACAGCAAGGTGAACACCTGCGAGAGGACAGCAGGGTTACTCCTGTCGCCTAGATATTCCTGGCCTGTTAACCATGGCCAAAGGGCTAAACGGCTGCTTTCTGAAAGTTAACAGCACGTGTCTAAGAATCATGTTTGAAAGTAAGAAATATTTAATTGACAGAAAGATTTTCTTTGCACAAGAAAAAAGTTTCAGGTATCTCTGCAGTAAACTTTTCCTTCAACATTTCACATACATCGTCTCATTTTCTTCTAGCTTCCCGCTAATAACAATCATCCTCGTATCTAATAAGATCGTACAGCTGCCAAACCACTACTACGTCTCCACTTCTGTCCATGATAATCCCACGAGAAGGAAGAAGACATATGAGGCAGGATATAAAAATTAAAATTAGTGATAATTTATCACTTGAGATGCAAGTACATCAATCGAAATAAAGATAGAGAACTGACCATTCATTTACTAATTATAAGGCTATTAGTGGTCTGCCACGGAAAATTTCAGTGCGATGGTAAGAACAATGAACAGAAGGTAAGTGCACTGAGAAATGACGTCTATATAGATATAGCTATAGACAGAGGAAGAGTCAAAATATTTTAAAGTACTATTCAAATACTATGGTAATATGTGTGAGTATTTTCTAGGATATCAGGAATATTATAAAGACCTTTGTGATGCTTTGAGTTTAGAAATCAAATAAAATTTTTTTCTTTGATGCATTTATAGTAGGAGAATCCTCTAATTTCCAAACTCTTGAAGTTCTGAAAGGGATATGGGATTAGACAGGTTAACGTTCAATGGTTTTGGATGAGCTGGCAAGTACAGTATAGTGATTAAGAGCACTTTTCTGTCACTTGCTAGCTGACTATAGACAAGTTACTTAATTTCCCTGTTTCTCCGAATGAACATTAGAGATAATAATAGCACCTACCTCAAGAAAATGTTGTAAGGATTAAATAGGCTCAACAATTTAGTGCCAGGTACGCAAACTATCAATAGTGTCCATAAGCAGATTTTAACAGTCTCATTGCTATTACTATTTATGGCCTCTCAGATACTGGGGACACTTGGTATGTGCAGGAGAAAGCCTATTCTAGGCCCAGAGTCTACACCAAGCGTCTACTGTTCTATTCTGTACAAGCCGGCCATGGAAGTGAGGTGTCTGCCTTGGCTTCTAACCCTCACGTGCCGTAGCTTAGCTCTGACATCTTTCCCAGGAAGGTAAGTGGCTTGTCCAAACAGAGAGACATATGCCTAGTCCAAAGGAGTGAACATCAGATGTCTTTGGACACCTGTCAGAGAAAAGAAGTTGTACTTCAATCCTATTTTTTTCCTCCACATGAGGTCGATGCTTCCTTAGTGTTTCACGGGCAAAGACTGTTTTGGACTTACAAAGTTTCATCAGGACAATCTCTACTGTGTGTGGAGGAAGCATGGAATATCAGAAATACTCCTGGACTTGGAGTTACAACATCTGATTTTGATTACCAGTTCTGCTATTTATCAGCTATATGATGTTGGGCAAGCTTCTTACTCTTCTGAGCCTCAATTTCCTCATTAGAAGAAAACAAACCCAGAAGGGCCTCTAAAGCTGTCATGCTGACTTTGAGATAAGTAACACGAGCTGCAGCGCAGGGGGACAGAGAGGAAGGTAATAAGGCAGCACGCGGCGGGGCGCAGCCGGAACAGCCAGGCACAGACCACGAACGCCGCGAGCCGCCCAGGGGGCCCTGCGCCGGTCAGCCCGCTTCGGGGCGCGGCGTTAGGAACTGTTCGCCCCTGTGTCTTCGGCGTCTAGCAAAGGGACTAGTTCACAAAGCAGACACTCAACATCTGATTGAATGCACGAGAATCAGCTGGAGACAATGTCAGAGACTCCCCTGTAAACAAGAACTGCTTGTTCTGAGCAGGAAGGGTGGGAGATATAAACATAAGAAGGTTATTGTTCAGGAGACTCTAGTTTGTACTAACACATGGTTTCAAAGGGTAAAGTTTTAGGCTCAAGGATAAAATTCACCAAAAGATAAAACTTTAAAAACAAACACAGTCTGAGCTATCTATAAACAGGACGAGTTACATGGTCAACTCTGTATTAATGGAGTATATGGAGGTTCAGTAAAGAAGTTTGCTGGCTGAGTGAGTCGTGTGTGCAGGAGGAAAAGGGGTTCAAAGAGAACGAGGCTCGCTTCTATAAGATTGGCAAAAATATAAATAGTTTTTATTGTAATTTTATATAGTATATAAATTTATACACTATGTATCATACACGTGTGAGGCATATATCTGCACTGAACGGGAGATCCATCTAGAGCAGGGGCTGGCACACGAGAGCCTATGGGCCAAATTCAACCAGCTGCCACTTTTTATAAATAAACTTTTATTGGAACACAGCTCTACCCATTTGCTTACTTGCTGTTGATTTAGTCTATTATTTAATCCTCACAAGATTCTCGTGAAATAGGTGCTATTGTTATCCCCAGTGTTCATTGGGATGCATTGATGCAGAGAGGTTAGGTAACCTTTTTTGGCATTGCAATGACAGAACCACGTAGTTGTGACAGAAACCAACTGGTCCACAGAACCTGAGATATTTACTATCTGGCCTTTTACAAAAATGGGGGGTGCTGCCCTTTAACGCAGGAGAAAATTCTTTCTCAATGGAGAGAAATAAAATGGCACCCTTATCTATTACTCCAAAATCAATTCTCCAAAATCAACTCTAGGTAAAGACAAGTATAAAAAGCAATACTTGAAAAGTTTTATAAGAAAACTTATAAAACTTTAGGATGCTGATGTAGGGAATGATTTCATAAATAAAATGCATAATATCTTAAATGAATGGTGCATAAACTACATTAATGATTTCTGTGATTCAACAAATGCCATAAATTAAGTTAAAAATAATGCCCCAGGCTTGGAAAAAGATTTTCTGCCTTGCATATAACTGATAAAAAATTAGTATTCAAAATTAGTTAGAGAATATACAGAGAACTACAGTTCATAAGAAAAAGAAATAATCCAACACAATAAAAAGAAAATTTAAAGCACCAATAAACATGAAAAGACGCTCAACCTCACTAATAATATTGGGATGCAAATTAAAACTACATTAAACTCCATTCCCTACCCATCTGACTGGGAAAAAAAATTAACTTTTAACCAATAATAACAGCGAATATTATTTTTGAAATGGCCTTTTATGAGGCCAAGCAGTGTTCAAAGAGGTTCACGTGTATGAAATGATCTAGTTCTCAAAACATGTCTATAACATGCTATAGATTATTGCTATAGAGTATTACTATCCCTTCCGGGATATAAGGAAACTAGGGCACGTGTACAGTGCAAGAAGCCTGCCGAAGACTGCACAGCTCATAGGAGGAGTCAGGTCAAACTTGCGTAACTCAAAAACTAAAGCCCATGTTCCTACCCATCAGTATGGGGCATCATTTTGGTAAAAAACAAAAACAAAAACCCAAAAAACTCTACCTGGGTAACTGGAGTAGTTACAACTTTGGAGAGCAATTTGGCAACATCTGTTAAATCTGAAGATGAGCATCTCCTTAATTCAGCAATCCCACATAGACAGAGTATTTTCCTTTTTCCTTCTGCAACATGGGTAAAAGAGTAAAACTGACCCCTGCTGACGGAGGCTGGCCTGGGAGCTCTGTTGTCCCCCCTGGCCGCCTGAGAACTGAAAAGACCAGTGTCTTGGGGTAATTGTGGAAGCCGTGCACACATGAATACCAAGGAAAATGTGCAAGAGTATTCATTGTACCACTGTTGTAAAGGTCAAAATGGAAAACAACCTAAAATGTCTACTGACAGAAAAATGGCTAACTTCACTCTTCAGTCATACAACTGCACACGATATAGAAGCAAAAAGGAATTAAAAAGGGCTAACTGAATCAATTTGGATATGTCTCAAAAGCACAAGGTTGAGTGAAAAAAGCAGTATAAGACTATGTAAAGTATATGATTCTAATAAGGTTTGTAGATATGAAAAACAATAAATGTTATTCACAAATATATACATCTGTAGCAATAGTATAGCATGATGATACAAACCAATTTAGAAGGCTGATCACTGCTAGGAAGAGAGTTAGAGGAAACCAGGAAGAGGAAACACAGGGAGCACCAACCGGAATACGATGCATTACCTACCCAGGACACCTGAGAAAGGAAGTCAGCAGGCCCTGCAGAATCCATGAAGGGTTCAGGCTTCTAAGTACCAAGCGGTGCTGAGGCTTATTTAAGAATTATTTAAATGTCTGTATGTGGTGAGCAAATGTCTACATTCTCTCATCACTCTTGCAACTCTCCCCCCAGGTAAGGAAAAAAAAGTAGTGTTTTCTGGAGAAACCAAATGGGACTCAGGACTCAGGGACACCAGGAGTTATGACGTACTAGCTGAGAGCGAGGGTTACTTGGAAGTCTGCCTAGTTGCGGAGGAGATGAGATGCCTGCACTTGGAGGAGTCCCAGCGAAGCAGCCAGCCCACACCCGCCAGCGGCACCGTGCCCCCTCAAGGGCCTGCACCCCCTTGCAAGCTGCTTAGCCTCTCCGTGCCCCAGTCTCCTCCCTGTAAAGGAGAGAAAACAACCCCTGTGCCACAGAGCTGATGACATGAGGGTTAAGTAGTGCAGAACGCTTAGAACAGTGCTTGATGCATAGAAAGAATATAAATACTTGCCATGATTCCAAAAAAAAAAAAAAAAAATAGAACAGGTCATATATGAAGAGACAAGAATCTAAGGAAGCAATGACCCAAAATCCTGAAAGAAAAGTGTTTCCAATCTATAATTCTGTATCCAGTTTATCGACCAAGTGGTGAAGTTAAACCAAGAGTGTTTTAAGACATGCATGCACTCAGAAAGTTTTCTCCATGTGGAACTTTCTCGAACGTGTGTTGATGCAAAATGAGGAAAAGAACCAAGGAAGAGAAGGACTGTGATCCAGGAAAGCGAAGAGCCCACCTGCCAGCTGGGAGGGAAGCCCAGGCCCGTGCAGTGGGCTGGGG